TTGACAAAGAAATGAACATATCTTGAGACTACATTTCAATTTTCTTGAAACATTTTTCTAATCTGAGAAAAAAATATTATTTGGCTGTGACATGTGTTAAAACAATATATGTCAAGAGGATAGTTACTACACATCACACAAAAACTTTTTAAATACTACCTTCCAGAGTTCTGGAAAAGAACAAAAGGGGAAAAAAGACAATAATTCACTTTCATTTTAAGTTACAATTGAGACATGAGATACTTGTCTTGACAAGAAGCCTGTGCACTTTTATAAAATACTAAGATTTGTAGAAAATGAGTATATTGTATGAGAAAATAAAACTGTGCCTTGGAACAGTTTTTACAGGAATGGTACCTTCTGCCAGGTGCAAACAGGTACTCCATAAGGTGGTGATTGCCCTGGACATACACCAGAGTTCAAGGTCTGCTCCTCAGTAGCTTTGCCAGCTTAGACATTTGATATTATGTTCCAGAATAGTTTACTCTCAAGAATACAAATTCACACTAACAAAAGTCCCTAAGGACTGATAAATAAACCAGGTTATTAATGTATAGCAAGTGTCAACCAATGAAACTAACTACCCCATTGAACAGGCAGTGGCTGGATGAATGTGGAATATGATTTGGTCCTTTAGTGGAATCTCACTGTGATTGACAGACACAGACTTTATTCTACACAATTGATATTTTTGAGAAGTAACCAGGAAGCTATATAAGCTGGGCAAGCTAACATCTCCCCTGGATAAAGAGTTCTTTGATGGAAGCTGGTACTGATTGTGTGATTATTCTTTTTTTTATAATTCCATGAATAGCCCCAGATTTGATCAGCATTAGAATTCCATGAATAGCCCCAGATTTGATCAGCATTAGAATTCCATGAATAGACCCAGATTTGGTTGATACTAGATTTTTTTCCTCAGGGAAATATATATAAAATTAGATATAGAAGTGTTTACTTATTTAGAAGGACAAAAGAAACCACATTTACAACTTTAGGGAGCTGATAAATATAAAAAGCATTATAAAATCTACAAAAAAATATATACTTGCATTAATATTAACTAACTGCCTGATTACCATTTAATATTTGTCTTACATTTTGAATCCCTTCTTCATATGACTACAATTTTGCAATATCATTTCCTACAGAGAGAATAGAAAGATATTTAGGTCTTTCCTCTAGCACGGCATATCAAAATTTGTTTTGTATTATAGAAGTTTAGAAAAGTTTATTTTACTTTCTCAAGTTGTTATTATAATGCCACATCTGTATCCTCCTCCCTGGTTTCTTGCTCAGGCAGCGGGGAATGAGTGGGGGCCCCCTTGGAGGACCCCAGCCCTTTGATCTCCCTGACTCGTAAAGCGCCCTGCTGCTGCAGCTGCTCCAGCACAAACATCAGCCCTTGTCTCACTTCCCTACCCACTCTGCCCCTGTGGTCCTGCTGGGAAGGAGTGAAGAAGATGGCCATGAACCTGGGTTGTGGGAGCTTCCAAACTGCTCTTCAGCCTCAAGTCCAGATCTTCTCCTTGGGGTCAAACTTAGTGCTATGATGTATCCAGATCCACATGGGCCCATGGAGATATTTCTGGAAGTGGAGGCCCACTCCTGGCCCCAAGACTGGCCCTAACCAGTTTAGAACGGACTTCTAACCCCCAGGTTTGGCCATCTTTCTCCACCGAGAACACAGTAGGCCTTGAGCGGAGCCTAGTGAGTGTGGGTCCTGAAGTTTAAGCTTCATCATAGTTGGATAAGTAGAACCCTGCCTCACTCAAGTTAGACAAGCCTTAGTAGGGAACCATCCTCTCTCGAAGGGGGTTAAACATACAGATTTCAGACCCTTCTCTGCGGGTTCTGCTCCGAATTGGAGGCAGTGCCCAGACTGTATTTTTGTTGTTGTTGTTAATCCTCACCCAGGGATATTTTCCATTCATTTTTAGAGAGAGTGAAAGGGAAGTGAGAGACAGAGAGAGAGAAACACATCGATTGGTTACCTTCCGCACTTGCTTCTCCCAGGCCAGGGATCTAGCCTACAACCAAAATATGTGCCCTTAACCAGAATTGAACTTGAAACCTTAAGTCTGTGGGCCAAACCATCCAGGGCAGACTGTATTTTTAAATGCCCCAGCTGATTCTTACACTCTGGTACATTTAGAAACAGGGCTTTGAAGCAACATAATATATCTCAACTTTGAGCCTTTAAATGTAGATTAAGTAGGCAGTTTATTGCCCATAATAGGAAATTTATTGCCTTCATTTACACGTTTTTAAGGCATGACTATGTGGATGTGTGTGTATGCATGGTAGTGGTGTGTGTATGTGTGTGTTTTGTGTGTGTGCATTTGTATGTGTGGTGTATGAAGTGGGGTGTGCAGACCCAGAAATCCGGCACAACTTCCTCAATGGCTACCTGGTTTTATGCTTTGGAAGCAGAAAGACCTATATTTGAAATTTTGCTCCACCACTCGAGATTTTGAAACCTGCAAATTATAGATAACAATACTTACTTCATAGATTTGAAGAAGTGTAAATGGGAAAACAATCAGTAAACAGCTGCTTATTTAGTTATACATTTCATTTTCTGCCCCCCCCTTTTTTTTAATCCTTAGCCAAGGATATGTTTATTGTTTTAAGAGAGAGAGGAAAGGAGAGTAAGAGAGAAACATCTACATGTTTGTCTTCTGTACATACCCCTGCTTATGTGCCCTATGGGGATTCGAATCCGTGGCCCTTTGGTGCACAGGACAACGCTCCAACTAACTCAGCCACATCGGCCAGGGCTAAACAAATGTGCTTCTTTACTTTACTCCTCTTAAACAATAACATATGTGAAATCACTTGTTTAAAGTTTAGTTGTGTTATAATACATGGTAACATGAATATATAACTATTTTTTTAAATGTTTCCTTGAAACACCTGAAGTCATGTTCCATGTCACTGGGGTACAAGCACTAGGCTTCAGCAGCATTGGCCAGAACTAATTCAGTCTCTAGATTTATCAGTGAGCAGGGTCCCGCTCCTTCTGCTAATGGCCTGTCCTCAAATAGATACTGCTGAGTCCGTTGCATACATTTACCACAGCCAAAAAACAACTTGGAAAGCCCAGAGTTAAGCATTAAATAAATTCCAAGAAATCGTCAAACTTTCTTGATAACATAGTGGACCTTATCATAGATCTCTTCCAGTTGATCTCTACTTATACTGCTTTTGGAATTGTATTATTTGACAGAAGTAATGAATTATTGTTTTAAACAACTGCATCATCAAATTTCCCAAAGCAAATACATTTAAACATGGTTTAATAAACTCCCAAGAATTGCAAATGACTTCTCAGACTTTGAAACAAACTGCATTACTAATATTTTTAACTCCTTATTTTGAAATAATTATAGAATCACAAAAGTTGCAAAAAAAAATTTTACAAAAAGATCCTACCAGCTCATGTTTAACAGCCTACATAATTTCAGTACAATAGTAAGACCAGGTAGTCAACATCTGAACAAACCAAAATGCTTATTCAGATTTTACTAGTTAACATGAACTCCTTTGTGTGCACATGTGTGTTTAGTTCTAAGCAATTTTATCATAGGTGTAGGTTCATGTATCTACCATTAGAGTCAAAATATAAAAAGTTCCATTATCACAAAACAGCCTGTGCTACTACCCCTTTATAGCCACATCCACCCCCAAACCCTAAGGCCTGGCAACTACTAATCTCTTCTCTTTCTCCATAATTGTGTTATTTAATAAAAGTTATATAAGTAGAACCATGTAGTATGTAACCTTCTGAGATTGGCTTTTTTTCATTCAGCATAATTGCCCTAAGGTTCATGCAAGTTACTGTGTGTATCGATAGCCTATTTCTTCTTATTGCTGATTAGTATCCTGTGGTTTGGATGTTTAACCATTCACCCATTGAAGGACATTTGGGTGGTTTCCAGTGTTTAGCTATTACAGCTGTTATGAACATTCATGACCAAATTTCTGTGAGAAAATAAGTTTTCATTTCTCTGAAGTATGTACAATGGCTGGGCTGTGTTGGAAGCCCATTTTTAGTTTAAGGAATTGACAGATTATTTTTCAGAGTGTCTGTGTCTTTGATACACTCCCACCAGCAATGCATGATGATCCAGTTACTCTGCAATTTCACCAGCGCTGGGTATTATTCTGATAGGGGTGTGGTGATCTCTTGTGGTTTCTCTGGTGGCTGATGATGAACATCTTTTCATGTGCTTATTTGCCATCTTTTTATATCCTCTTTGGTGAAACATCTGTTCCTGTCCTTTGCCTGTTTTCTAAATGGATTGCTGGTAGTATTTTTATATTGAATTTTGAAAGTAATGTATATTTTCTAGAAATACATCCTTTGTCATACATGCATTTTCTTCCTATTCATGGTTGTCTTTCATTCTCTTAAGAAAATGAAGGTTTATGATGAAGTTTAATTTCTCTAATACGTTTTTAAGGATATTTTTCCTGTTTACTTTACAATGCACACTTACCAATTATTCTTTAGTGTATAACATTTTCTTTCAATACATCTTTTGAATTTTGTATTGTAATGCTCTTAACTTGAAATACCTTGTAAACGTAATGGTTTTATAAAATTATTCTAGAGAATAAATCCATATACTATACATTCTGGGGATCATTTTTATTTACTTCAACAAACATGAACTGATTTATGAAGATTGTCCTTGTTTCTCTCATCTCTCTATGGACTAATAAAAGCTTTGCCACATACAAAGGCAGGTGCTGAGACCTGCCCTGGAGGCCACCTCCCTGAAGCGTAAAGTCCACTGCATTAGAATCAGGAAAAGAAGGCTGGCTTGGCTCAGATTACGCTTTTGCCAAGGGGATTCTGAGCATATTTCAGCTCTAGAAAAAAAATGGAGTGAAGAAAGGGAAAAAATATGACATATGTAAAGCCTTGAGATTCATTTGACAAGTGTCAAGAGAAGAGACTGCCCCTGCAATATATAATACAAAGTCGAATTTCTCACTTGCTAAGGGGAAACTGCTGGCAGAAAACAATCTCTGAATGAAGCAAAGAGCCCAGTTCATGCCACATTTAGGGAGAGCCAGCAGTTCAGGGATTGGCTGATTTTTCAGGTCCGGGCACTGAAGCGGCGCTGGTGCATGGAGCCAAGGACTGGTAGACCAGGGATGGATTAAAGTCTGTTCTGCGGCAACTTGTGTTTAGTTTAGCACTAGAGGCAAAGAATCAGTCTGTCCCTTATAGGAACTTCAAGAAAGAATTTTTTGTGTGAAAAATACAGAATCTCAGTCCCCATCCCACACCTGTTGAAACAGAATCTCTGGTGATGCCCAGGTAGATAATAATAAATTTAACTAGGTATACATATACATATATAGACACACACACATATACTTGTCAGTCATGCATTTCCTGGTTAACACAAAACAATGTGAAATTGATTTGGGTTTGTGATCGTTTGAGACCATTGGAAACATCCAGAGGCAGAGCAAGCCAAGGTGAGGAAACGTATAGAAAGGAGGCTATAATCTCGACAGGCTTTTTTGGAGTCAGCAAAGGCACCAAGAGCATTAACTAGAGTGATCCCGCTTGTGTATCCCCCAACATGGGCACCCTGCTCTCATGTCCAATTCTTTTCCTCCGCAAAGAGCCTGAATACTGGAGAAGGAAAATCTCTCAGACTTTGGCCTCCCTTCTATCCCTCAGAGAAAACCTTAGCACATCATAGGCTTAGTTACATACTATGGAGGTCAAAGTTCTTTTTATCATTGCGAAACCAAAGAAACTTTAGATAAATTAGAGTAATTCAGCTTAGTTATTGAGTCATTTACTAAAGCAATTAGCTTATACCATTGTGCCCTTTGGGATACTCAGTTCTATTAGAAGTTCAAGTCTTTATGTTCAGATCAAATCAGCCCCTTTTTTCAGCCACATGAACTTTACCTAATTATCTGCTCACTTATAGACCCTGGATGATATTTTTAAACTTACAGCTGCCTCCTGCACATCTCCCACTGGGGATGTGCCCCCAACCCAGGTACGTGCCCTTGACCGGAATCGAACCCGGGACCCTTGAGTCCGCAGGCCGACGCTCTATCCACTGAGCCAAACCGGTTTCGGCGACCCTGGATATTTTTAAACTTAGTTACTCCTTTTACCAGTAAAATGTCTAATTTAGTAATACATATAAGTGTTAAATCAAAACTTTTATGACACCAAAAGCAAGAAAAATATCTCTCCTTTCTCACAAACTCTCTCCTTAAAGACAATAGCTTTTAACTGCTTTGGGTACTTCTGGTAGTTACTTCCATACATATATATATATTTTTTTAAATGTGGTTACCGTATTAGTTCTCTGGGGCTGCTGTAACAAATCACCACAAACTAGGTAGCTTAAAATAACAGAAATCATTCTCAGACAGTTCTGGGGGAAAAAAGTCTGAAACCAAGGTGTTGGCAGGGCTC